GGTTAAGCCTTTGAAACACAGAGAAAAGAGCTCATGTTTCTTTCTAGAACTTGTATTCTAACCCTGGAAGTGCTAGGCTGTACAAGCCCAAGCTCTATAGGAACCCAGTTTAAAAAGAGAGATTGCTTCTTTAGTCCTAGACAGCACAATTCAAGTGTGATGATGAAGGTAGGACCCTATTTTTCAGAGCAAATGGGTTACTCACTATATGGAATCATTTTCCCTATTTCAGGGATCAAAGTTTCCAGAGAAGCAAACGTAACAGACGGTCTTTTCCAAGGGATAGGAAAACAAAAAACAAAAAAAAAAACCAAACCTGTTGCCGTCGAGTCAATCCCAACTCATAGAGACCCTATAGGACAGAGTAGAACTGTCCTACAGGGTTTCCAAGGAGCCCCTGGTGGATTCGAACTGCCGACCTTTTGGTTAGCAGCTATAGTTCTTAACCAGTACGCCACCAGGGTTTCCATGGGATAGAAGGTGGTACAAAATATCAATAATACATCCTTAAAAAGAACACTGGTTGAAAAATACCCAGAATTCTCACCATTTTGGAGCTTTCACTTTCAGGCCATTGTTTAATACCAACTTCGAGACTGCCATCTTCCTCACTACTAACAGGTTCGGTGCCACTCTGATCCTATGGAACATTAAAAAAGAAAATGGCAAAGATGTCATTCTTTAATCATACTGTACCAAACTGTACACATACTTCATCACAGTTCCTTGTTTTATTGTTGTTTCCTCTCTGGAAGTTATTCTTGTTTTCTTCCTTTCTAGCAGATACGCAATTCTTTTTCAGGTATCTATTCTTCTGGCCCACAGATATGCCCTAGGGGAAGCTGAGCCCTATTCTCTGTCCCATGCCTGACTGCCTTAAGGTTAATCCCCTTCTTTTTGCAAAAGAGTTCGTCAGGAATGGGAATGTGAACCAATTCTGGCCAATGAGACACAGAGAGGTATGTGGGTGACTTCCGGAAAAGGTCTTCCTTGATCTTAAGAGAGAGTCACAATGAGTCTCCACATCTCCCAAATTAACAAGAAAGTATGAAGCAAAATGGCCATGGACAGCCATTGTACAACCATGTAGAAAACAATCTTAGGATGAAGCTGACAGACACTATAGATGACATAGCAAATATAAAGAGATGGAAAGAACTGTTCTTGCTGTCAAAACTGGGTGACTGAATCAACCAACTCTGGAGTCCAGCCTTACCTTCAGCTACCATTATGGATCAAATTGTGTCCCCCAAAAAGATATGTTGAAGTCCTATCCTCCATTACCTGTCAATGTGACCTTGTTTGGAAAAAAGATCTTTGAAGATGTTACCAGTCAACATGAGTTCATACTGGAATAGGGTGGGTCCTAATCTCATTTGAGTGATGTCCTTATAAAAGAGGAGAAGAGGCACAGGGACACAGAGGGAAGACGGCCATGTCAAGATGCATCTACACGCCAGTGAACGCCTTGGGATACCAGAAACTGAGAGACAAAAAAAGATCTTTCCCTAGAGCCTCTGGATAGAACACGACCCTGCTGACACCCTGAATTTGGACTCCTAGCCTCCAGGATTGTGAGACAATAAATTTTGGTTGTTTAAAGCCACCCAGTGTGTGGCATTTTATTATGGCAGCCCTAGGAAACTAATAGGGCCACCTTCTATGAGAGCTACTACATTTCCTTGTTTCAGCCTGTTTGAGTCAGTTACTCTGTCACCTCCAACCAAAATCTTCTAAACTGAGGCACAGGACTCTAAACTGCTTGAGATAAGGAGCTGTGTTTATCTTGTTTGTTTCTGAAACTCAAGAACCTAGTAAGGTATATGGCACATGGAAAGCACTTGACAAATACTGGTTGAAACAACGGATGAAATGAGTACTTGCTTTCTCAATGATGCTACTTTTCAGCTGAATCCTTTAACTATGTTTAATGAAATTAAGACATCTGGAAATAATAAGCCCCATTAAAATTCTAAAACATATTAGACATCTTCACAATCGAGTTATGATAAATGTTATAGTTGTTTAACCAGAGGTTTCTTTACTTTCTAGGAGTATATAAGGGAGGTTAAGGCTGGTAATAAAGTATCTATATTGTACTTAACTGGATTTTTATTTTAAAACAGCTTCATCCTGGGATTACTACACTCCTGGGTGTGATAATTTGTAGAGAAAACAGCTCTGATTTTGGGGCATTCAACCTCACTCAAAATTTAAGAAATTAAAGCAAAGAGATAGCATTCTTTCGTCTATCAAACGGACAAGAGAACATTCAGTAATGGTACTTTTGTAGGAAACCAAGAATTTTTACACAACACTGACAGAACTGTAAATTAAGATAATCTTTTCAAAATTAAAGCAAAAATGTGTCAAAATTTACATTGTGCATATCTCTATAGTAAAGAATCCTAGGAATAGATATGGCAAATATAATTGCACAAGTGTGCAAAACGATATTTGCTGCAGCACTGCTTGCAACAGCAGCAGACAAAAACCATAAATGTCCATCAATAAATTATGGTTAGTGAATTATGCTAACTCTCTCCAATGGGACACAAGGCAACAGTCAAAAAGAAAGAACCAACAGGAAAGACATCCACAACATACTGTTAGGTGAAAAAAAAAAGACAGATGCAAAACAGCATATATAATGTGAATCCAGCATGAATATACAGAGATACAGATATACATGCAGGGACACTACCTATAATTATGTAGGACAATTTTAAAAATTCACTACTTCTGGGGAGTGGATTAGAGAGTGGAAAATTTTTGCATTCATTATTTCTACATTGTTTGATTAGAGAAGGGTAAGAATTAGCATGCATGACTTCAAAAAAAAAGTTAAATGCAGTTAACTATTTTTAGCTTTTTGTTGAGGCGGGCTCTTTGTTCATGCACTGTCTCATTGTAGTCCTTATGA